TGGTCATGTTCTGCAGACCAAAAGTCTGGGTACAAACAATCCAATTCCCGCATCAACCAACAATCCCTTTGGAACTATATGAACATGATACAAGTGAAACAGGAAAAGACAAAAAAAAAAAAAAAGTAATAGGAAATGCTATACATTACTGTGATCTTAGGAAAAATGCTGCTCCACACAGATTAAAAAATAGTTAATACAAAAGCAGAATGAAACTGAGGATAACCATGTTAGACAAATTTCATCCTGATGTGACTTGGGGTAGAGCCCCTTTCTTTCCAAAAGAATAGAAGTTTAGAACAAATTCATTTCATGATTCAACAACAAAATATGCACAGTAGAGATGTGTCATGGAAGAGGTAGTGATGATAAAACGTGGTCACCATTATGTTTTGTTTAATAGTGGACAAAAATTAAGAGTATCGCTTTGGCTGGCTTTCTCCCCTTAAACCTCACTTGTTCCTCCAGCACATCTCCCAAACACACTCTTCAATGTATTTTGTCCATGATCGCACCATAAGAAATATCCAACACACTCAATTAGTGGTGGCAGATGGATGAAAGCGAGAATTGTTTAAGAGCAACTGCAACTTAGTATGATCACCAGAAAGAAAAATAATAGGCAGTTCTCCTTTACATCAAAGCTTCCAGGTGGTAAGAACGGAAGTATGAGCAGGTCAGGACTACAGAAATCTTCTAGAAATATTGAAAGTATCAGTTGGGAGAAAAGTCAGTAAAACATGCAACAAGCCAAAATTAAAATGATAATCTAAAAATGGTTTACTATGAAATAGAAAACACCAACTGAATTTTCTGTCTACCTTGCTACACTGCTATGACATTATTCCCAGACATGCCATTTTGGAGATTTATTGCATTTCTTGGGAGGTTACTCATATCCATTTGGTCTTAAACCTTAAGTACACCACCCCAGCTGCAGTATAATCCCTCAAATGCATTTGCCATAGTTTATTGAAGCAGTAAGACACCCCATTACATGGTTCCTTGTAGTTTATGAAATAACTTTTCCTAGAAAGGATGGTAAGAGTCAGAAAACAATGTTTTGATGCAAGCTACTGATTTTCAGTGAGCTTGAGATGTGTTTGATAGTGAAATTTTAAGAGAGCATCCTCTATTCTGTTGTTCTGATAGCTCGGTTCCGATAAAACATTAACAAGCCCCTCTCCAATATGCAAGATCTTTAGCTCTCAAGAGCTGCCTTTTAGTATTATGTAAGAAACATTCTCTCCTTATTCTTCCACTAAAAATGTAAACTGTACACTCATGCTACTATGGCTGGAGTAGCACAAAGGGAGGCTCAATTTGATTCCATGTTTTTAAAACTGAGCATCCACCAAGAGCAAGTGGGAATCAAATCTATTCTGTTTTAGTCCTACTAGGACGTTACTCAGCCTTTTTAACTGGTAACTTAACGCCAGTAATATATAATTTTGCTTCATAACTGACCCGTATTTGTGTCTCAATTTCTTTACATCTTGTTTATAGCAGGTCAGAACTAACTGTAAAAAACCCCATACTTATTGTACACATACAAAATCCACATTCCTTCTAGTCACTCCACTCCAATTTCAGGTGAAGGCCCCTCCAACATTGCCAAGTTGAGGTTGATTTAAATTATAAATTGTCACCCTTCGACAAATTACTAGTATTCAGCTGAGATGAGCACGACTCTTGGACTATTCATACACAGGCATTCAGAGCCCAGAGGCATTAACTTCTACTTTGTACGTGTATACAGCACAAGAATGTTTTTCACTCCATCCACAAATATCCAGTCTTCAGTCTGTGGATATCAGATGGCGATGCTTGCTTTAATCCTGCTTGCCTTCACGCCACTGTCGAGACCCTTCATTCCAAGCTACATAGACAAAGAGAGCAAGTACCACATGAACAGTAACTACAGCGACGATGGCAGCATAAAAATAGCTGTCTCTGTTGGACATTCCCAAGGTACCTGAGAAGACAGACAAAAAGACCACACCAATTTAAAGGAATTCTGAGTGTTTCTATTAAGGCAGAACAATAACTTGCAATTGTTTAAAGAGGCCCAATTTATTACATGTTTATTACTTCTGCATATCAAGGGTAGGACACAAAGAGCAATAGGTCAGAATTTGCTAGTATGTTACAATTGGGATGCAAGATAAAGAAACTGCTTTTTACCTTTTTCCTTGGAGGTACCAGTTAACTTTTGGAAATATAGCATTTTAGATCTTTAAAATGTTCTACAAATATTCTTCTGCCAGCCTCCAAACATCAGACCTCAACATCCCTGTCAACTGAGCATTGTTCTCTTTTTATCGATGGGGAAAAACTGAGAAGCAGAGGCAAAGATATTTGCCTATGGTCAGAGTCAGTGGTACAGCCGTGATTAGAACTTGGGAGTTGCTGACTTAAATGCTCAGGCTACTAGCCAGACCATGCTTCCTCATCAGAAGTACTGTGTGTATTAGATAATAAGTGGGAAACTATATGAATGTTTCCCATATAATACAAGTTTTAAGATACTAGAGCTATTGCCAATAGCACATTCTTTCCAGCCTAAAACAAAGGGTCACTGTTGGTAGAGCTTCTTGTAACGGACAAGAATATCTTCAGAGAAAAGTCAACATATCAAGAAAATAGGAAACTAAAACAGTTTTTTCTGAATCTTTTATTCCACTTCTAACCTCAGCTTCCAGAGGCCTTCGCAACCACAAGGACTGAAGGGAAAAATTTGATTTTTTTGGTAGGCCCTTAAACAGTCACACATTCCTCAGCTGCTCTTGTCTTAAGAGGGAAGTTCTATTTTTGTCTTCAGAAAGACACTTATGCAGCATCAGGAAGTTCTGCTGGTTTGTCCATTTTTCCTGTTGCAGAATCAGAGACAGGCTCTTGGTTGGTTATCAGCAATTTAACAGAGCCCTGGTTCCACAGCACAAGTTTCATCCTCAACCTTCAGGAAGCTGGAGAGAATGAAATTCTTCAAGCAACAGAATTCAAAATCTGAAGCTCTTACAGTGTTTGAATGAAATATTTATAAACATACTCAGCTATATTTAAAAAACAAAAAATAAAGAGATGGAGCTAGAGAAGGACAGAATTATACCATTCTGAATGTCACTTGTTGGCTTATGCTGTTACAAGAAAATCTTCACAGAACCATTTCTGCACACATCACCACTGCAGCCTTTCAAGTATTCTCTACACAGCTGAAACTCAGATTTTATACTTGGCATAAGCCACTGAAATAAATTTGTTCTTGTTTGCACCCAAAACCTTGAATATCACAACCTTTAATGTTTCCAGCCCCATATTCCAAGAGGGTTCCCTGTCTAATCCAATGCATTCAGTTTGTAAAAAGAAATGGGTACTAGAGAAAGAAAGTATAAAAAAACCTAGTATTTTAGGTATGAGGCTTTGTCTCTTAAACATGTTCTGTTTAGCAGGCACGGAATTACCTTCAAATACATAAGCCTTTGAAGAGAAGTACAGCCCAATAGGTAATAAGATCATCAGAGCGGTGAAGAACAGAAGCGTTCTTAGAGTTGATGTTAAGGAACCCTCATTTCTGAAATGAACAAGAACAGCTGTAACAATACAGAAAGTCACATAACATATCTGATATAGTGCATCCGCTTTCCTTCAAGGGGAGAAATACAAACGGTTGGTTTTAAAGAACTTTCTTTGCATTTGCTGTTTGGAAGAGACCAGAAATTAACCTTGTACTCAAAGCTGGTATTTGAACATCTTATTGTTCAGAATTATTTCAGGGCCAAATTCTGCCATTAAACAGTTATGACAAAAAATATCTTAAGTTATTTCATTTTTTAAAAAAATACCTGCTAAAGCATTAAAGGGACCTTCATCAACTTAAAAAACAAACAAACATATTCCAATCAATGTTTTTAAACTTGAAGCATTAGACCAATCAGTTCATATTGATGATGGTGTATCATTCCCCCCTTTTACAGGGGGATCCCTCCCACAAGCAGCAATGAGAAAAAAGGTTTTAAAGACAGAAAAATATGATTAGGGCCATAAAATTGACAAGTAGATTTAGAGGCAGGGGGGGTACCTAAGAACAACTTTCAACACTTAATTTTTTTGAAATCCAGTTTTCTTTTTT